AGGGTGAGCTGGTGATGGGAAACCCATGGGGATTACAACTGAGATGGAAAAATACAGAAAAGGATGGAAAAATAGGCTACTATATTATTTAAAAAAAAAAAAAAAGGAAAAGATTGATTAAAAAAATAAAAGGTGGCTAATGTCTCTAACAGACCAGCCCTGTCTGGCACGACCTGGCTGTATGATTCTGGGCAGTGGGCTTCACCTCCCTAAGAACCACTTGCCACCTTTCAAATAGGCCAGACAAGAGTCCCAACCTCTTCTCTGTAAAGGTCTACAAAGCACTTAGCACACACCCCAAGGTCCTAATGCAGCAGTGTAACACGGGGGGACGAGCCTTCGCCCCCAGCCTGGGGCTCAGTTGAATGCACTAGCTCCCGCACTCCCCACCCTGAGCTACCTGCCAACTGGAAACGCCCCTGAGCTGACTGACAGCGCCCTGATGAAGGGGTCGCACACACGGCCCCGCAGCTGGGAAGCAGTGTCACGGACCAACTAAGCAACGTGGCCTCGTCCAGGCATTTAACATGGTGAGAAGCATATGGCCGATGGCAATAAATCTGTGTCGCGCTCCAGAATTAGTTCAGTATTTGTAGTACATCTCATCTTCGCTACTCGTCTATAAGCTCTGAAAGGGTGAGGATCACATCTTGCTCTAGCGAAGAACTAGTCAATGAGTGATGGAGCCCAGAGCTAGCGTGCTCATGCCTGCTCAATGGCTTCTCAGCTGTGGGACCCCAGAAAAGTCACTTACCCTCCTGGGTCTCGCTTATCCCACCCTGGCAATGAGAAGTCCGGATCACTTGTTTACCGGGGACCTTCATACCCTGAAAACACACGGATGGGGGCTTAAGGACAACATGGGCCCTGCGCCCCAGGCACCTGACGGACACGCACCCAGCTCTGATTCGCCTCCCTGGTCTGCACTTTTCCAGCAACAGGCTGTGAGCGACCCTGCGCCGTCTCTAAAGCAGGTGTGTTCCCTTCTCTGGCTGCAGGAGGCTGCCCCAGCAGCCAAGCGAGAGCCCCGGAACCCGGGACCCGGGAGACCAAGGCGCGTGGGGCTCTACCCTGGGCCGGACCTCCCAGACACTTGCTGCCTGCTGCAGCCTCACTACATCATCTCACGGGGAGACTGGGGTTCAGAGGCAAGCAGAAGTTGGCCTCTGACAGTGAGGTGGTCACATGACACGTCTCCCCCCAGAGCTGGTTGTTATTCTTCAATGTTTTGTCCAGCCTGAAGGTCCAAGAGTTTGACTCAAAGAAAATACATGTGTGTTATGACACGAGGCTCTTCCCACAGCCTGCATCAAAACAAAAGTTGTGCAAGGAGCAAGGCCCGAATTCAAGGCTTTAGAAATGTGCTCAGATGCTATCAGAACCTGGCTGGTTGTCTCGGCTTCACACGGGTGCCGTTCCTAATTAACCTGACCTTGGCTAATTAACCTGAAAGTCAATCATTTCCTTCACCTCTTTCCAAGCGATAAAGGCATCCTGCCTCTATGATGGTCTTAAAGTCCAAATGAAAACCTATTGGAGATGAAAAGAAAAACTGCTAAAAAGGGAAACTAAATTGGCCAATTTCCCTTTTTTGAACATTATTTTTTAAGGATTTATTTATTTATGCTTACAGAACTGGGGTAGAATCCAGAGGTGTGGAGGGTGAGAGGCTTCACCAGAGACGGAGCGGGAAACAAAACAGGCAGATCTACTGAAACACACGGCTGAGGGGAGCAGCAGGCTCAGGAGAGGTCTGCAGTGCCATGTGGGTCAGCTCCCTGGCCGGGGATCGAACTAGTGCTGCAGTGGCTTCAGAGAGCTTCATAATGCTGTGCTTTAACCCACTGCACCATCAGGGAGAGTCCCTTTTTGAGCATTTTTATAAACTAATTAATCCAGTGTTCACAGCCCATGCCTTGATATCATCATAATCCATTTTACAGTGATGCAGTGAGGTTTCCAAAAGCCACATGACTTGCCCAAAGTCACAAAGCTGGGGGTGGGGAAGGGAGGGGGGTTCTAAGGCTTCTGGGGGGGGGCGGTTCTCAGGCTTCAGCAAGGGCACCCCATGGCCATTGCCAGGCTCATTCATCTCCAGAAGCTGCCACTTAGACTCCAGTATCGCAGACACACTCAGGTAGTGGCCACAAGACCCCACTTAGAAGTGAAGAGGGGAGGGCGTCGGGCCATGCAGACGGCTGCAGTCTGACTGTGAATCAAGCTCAACTCTCCTCCAAACTGCCTTTCACAGACCACAGCAGATGCTTCTGGTGGTGTTTGGTTTGATTCAGAAACCTTCCAGACATGCAATTAAAAGCTGCAACATTCTCACTTTTAAACACTTGTCTGTCTCGAGTGGGGGCCCTGCTGACCTCACAGCACCTCCGACGACCCGACACCCACCACCCCTCCAGCCTCTCCCACTGGAGAGCAGCTCACAGCCACCGCTCCAGCTCTGGAGAGTGCTCTGAAGGCGTGGGTGCAAGCAAAACTAAAACAGCGCCTCACCCAAAGTTCACAGAGCAGAACTGAGACTGTGCGTGCTCCAGCACCTTCAGCTGTACCTCACCAGCAACCTGTGTTTAATGCACACCTGCAACTAGGGAAAAACTGCACGTTCGTACTTTAGATGAAAATTTCTCACTGCTTTTGACAGATCCTAAGTGACCAAGCACTGTTTGGGCAAAAGCCATTTGCTGAGCGACTGTATTTGTATTTTATTTTCTGTCCAGCGCGGCAGAGGGAATTTTCCACCTGACAATTCCTGTTTTCCACTTAAGTTCTCACCCCATCTGGGAGCAGTGTGCTCAGCAGGGGAGGGATGCAAGGATGGCTGTTCTGCACCAAACCTCAGTTTTCCTGTCTGATGATTTTTGCGAACATTCTAAGCTTATTTATCAAGTAGCAAGCAGTATGGAGTTGTCGATTCCTGGGCCAGGATCTGCCACCAGAGGTAAATCTTTACATAATTTTTGAGTAAAGCAAGAGGCTTCACTGAAATGAATAGCGCCTTGGGAAACTGAGCTGGGGTGGGCAGTGAACAGCGCCAGGACTCAAGTCCCCAGCGAAGAAACCAGCCTCTTCTGTTCTCAGCGCGCCCCCTAGCGGCCACTCCACTCAACCCGCCGGAATGTGAGCGTTTCTGCAAATAAAGGGAAAGATACAGACAAGAGAAAGGCTCCTGCCTCCCGCTGCAACAACCCCTTTCACTCTCATCTACACTGTGGTTCAGACAGCTAGACCTTGGCTAACAGGCTGCCCCGGTGCAGCTCACAAAGGTGTCTTCCAGAAGATGAGCTTTCGTTCTTTCAAACAGTTGGCCACCGCGCCCCAGGATTTGGGTGTCTGCGCCCCCTCACAGATCCCAGGCACACCCTTACCACTCACCGCTCACACGCTCACATCCTCAACCTGCAGCTCCAACCACGTCTGTTTTTCATTACGCTGCTTCCCAACTTCCAGCGTGATTCTTCAACAGCTACTAAGAACAACACTAGCAAAGGGCTAAGCTTAGTTTTTGCTTATTCAACACCCAGCCTGGGGAATATCACCTCAGACAGAAAGCATGAATGAAGCGCTTGCTTCTCTACCTCTTCATGCACAGTCTGAATGTGTTTGGCAAAGGATGTCTTTGCAGCCATCTCCTCTGTGAATTTTTCAACCTACAAAACCAGCACCTGCCCAGGGTGGATTCTTAAGTACTCGCTTACTACAGAATTTGTTCATTACAGAGGCAGCTTGGAACTACAAAGTACAATGTCCCAAAGTCCTATTAACCCCAACAGGGTTTTGTTTGTTTGTTTTTTCTTTAACCTACAGGGGAAAAAAAGTTGTGTCTGCCTAGTAAGACTTAGAAATGATGGGATTATCTAGCTAGCCTGATACTCAAACAATTTGGGGGCTGAGAATTCTGATGGATGCCCCATTTTTCCACAGAACTGTTCCCACATACATGCAAGAGAAAAAAATACCAACATCAACCTACCACTTCATTCAACTTGCTTTTGCTTTTTCCCTAAGGTCATTTGCTAAGGTTTGTCAGCCTCCCTGGGCCCCAAAACGCCCCCCAAAAGTGCACACACACGGAGTCCCATAATTAGTTCCTGTCTTTGGCTATCATCTATTAAAAAATGCATCTTAGATGCTTCAAATCAAAGAACCATGTTAATTTTCTGCCACACATACAAACTCTTTCTGCAACAGTCACTTCGGACCCAACCCTCTGGCCACAAGTGTGTGGATTTCAAGGGCCTGTTCTACAGAAAGGAAAATGTCAAGGAAGCAAACTTGGGATCCGGCATGAAGGCGCTTCTTGGGGCTGTGCTGTTGGTACTTGGACCCCGGGGAGGGTTTCAGCTGTCACCAGCAGGGCTGCGAGAGGCCAGACCCCTTAAGCTGGGGAGCAGCCTGCAGACTGAACTGAAAGGCAACTGAATCAGCTGCAACTCAGCGCCCTGTGAGAGACCCACCCTGGGGCACTGCAGCCCTCTCAGAAGCCAGCCCCAAACTGTCATCCCTCAGGCGAGGAGTCACCCCTGGGGTGCAGTGACAGCAGCATGGGGTTGAGGGCCTCTGCTGGGAAGATGCAGGAGAGCGGCGGTGGAGGGAATCAGTCACCTATAGGACACAGGACTCAGGAGACCTGCTCTAAGTTGCGGGTGTCTGTCTGGAGCTGGAGAAGCCAGAAAATGGGATGCGTGCCTGCCGGAGAGGGAGACCCCGACCATCCTGAGGCTGCAAAGTGTTTGCAAATCATAAACACTACTTTGCTGCTGGGATAAAAACCCCCCAAAATATGCGCAGACAGGATGTAACAAGTGTTTCAGGAGAGACACGCCTGAGTCACGGCGCGCTGGGGGGAGAGTGAGGAGTTTGTCGGGGGGCTCTCGGGAAGCCCCCTCTCCCGCTAGGGAGCCCGCGTGCGGGCAGCCAGCTCTCCCACCCCGCGGGCGCTGGGTCCCCAGGCACCAGCAGCGCGCCCCAGGGGTCTCCCCACTCACCACTCGGCCCGAAAACCTTTCGGTGGCCCTCTTGACTTTGCCGTAGGTGCCTTTGCCCAGCGTCTCCTGCAGCTCGTAGCGGTGCTTCAAGTTGTGCTTGTGGTGATGCCGCTTCACCCCGTGCGGCTTCCTGGGCTCCGGGGCCGCCGCCTCCGGGGCTGCGGTCGCCCCCACCA